AGGATAAAACAAAGGAACAAGAGATTCACCTCATTAACCAAAACAATAAAAAAAAAAACAATAAAAAGTGAAACAAAATCATTGTGGTCATTTGCCAAAAGGCGATAAATCAAAAAATAAACAAATAAAATAAATAAATAAAACAAAAACAAATAATTTTCACTTCCCCCACTAATGAAAACAATAAAAAAAACTAAAACAAAAAACAAACAAAAAAGAAAAAAACAGGAAAAAAAATAGAAAAACGATTTTGCAAGAACCTTTCTCTTGACAAACACATGACAATATAACAAGAAGGTTTTTTTTTACATCTGTCTCCCACCGAGATCACAAAGAAACGAGATGAGACGTGGACAGATAGATGTGGATAGATAGACACAAAGGACAAAGGACAATCCAAAGACGACGAGAAGAAGAAGAAGAAGATGATGAAAGAGAAGACGAAGAAGAAGAGGAAGGAGAAGGAGAAGATGAAAGAGAAGACGAAGAAGAAAGGAAGGGAAGGAGAAGATGAAAGAGAAGAAGAAGAAGAAGAAGAAGAAGACGATGAAAGTGAAGACGAAGAAGAAGTAGAAGAAGAAGAAGAAGAAGAAGAAGGAGAAGAAGAAGACCAAGAAGAAGTAGAAGAAGAAAGAGAAATAAAGAGAAGGAGAAGAAGACGAAGAAGAATTAAGAGAAAAAAGAAGAAAAAAATTATGCGAAAATGAAAAAGAAATGACAACAACCGTAAAGAAACTGTATTTTCCTCCTTTGTCTTCTTTCCTTTGTATTTGCCGAGGTGAAAACAAAGAATCTGAAGTCATAAACAGAAGAGTAATTGTATTTCTTTTTAACAACACCCATTGTGGTCTGATTTCAAAGGTACTGTTATATACGGTGATCCATTACCGAGTGTGTTTGGGAATCCGCAGCTGTGAATGGTTTCATTGTATATGTAAGGAGTAACGTCTATCTATATCTATCTATCTAACCATCTCCTTATCTGTCTGTCTGTCTATCTATCTATTTATCTAACCATCTATTTATCTGTCTGTCTATCATCTATCTAACCATCTATTTATTTGTCTGTCTGTCTATCTATCTATCTAACCATCTATTTATCTGTCTATCTATCTACCTATTTATCTATCTATATATATACCATTTATCTGCCAATCTATCTACCTATCTATCAATCTATCTATCTATATCAAGCATAACTGTAATCCACACACCAACATTTTCAACATCTCTCAGAAAACGTTTCCTTACGACTTTCCCAGGAAACGTTTCTTCGTCAACCAATGGGCCTCACAGCTGACCCAACATACATCAAAAAGCGAAATACATTTAAAAAAATAATATCAACGAGCGTGCGAATCAAATACCTAAAAAACAAAGAACTTTAACAACTAAATAACAAATCAAATAACTAACCAACGACAGCAAGAACAACAAAGTAAACAAAGAAAAGAAAGCAAAAAACTGGGTTATTGACCCAGCTGGCTCCACGCACCGTTGGTAGCGGAGCGCGGCTCATTAAAGGGACAATCAAATGCCCTTCTGGTTTGGAATTAAGGGCGGGATTTGGTCTCAAACGATGAGTAATGGAGTCGGTGTATCATGGATAGATAGATGGATAGATAGAAAGAGAGATAGATAGATAGACACAAAGAGATAGAATAAGGCTGATGGATGGATAGATTGATATACAAACAGAGAGAGAGAGAGAGAGAGAGAGAAGAGAGAGAGAGAGAAGAGAGAGAGAGAGAGAGAGAGAGAGAGAGAGAGAAGAGAGAGAGAGAGAGAGAGAGAGAGAGGTCCCTGCCTATCGATGACGTCATAATAACACGTGGACTTCGCAAAAATAAACAAAGTGCAGGAGGAAGGCCAATGAGGGGGGGGGGGGAGGGGGGAGAAGGGGGACCCGCGGCTATATAAAAGAGACACGTAGCCGGCAACCACGAACTGTAGTCATGGCATTTCCGGCAATGAATTTACTAATCCCCCGCCCCCCCCCCTCCTACTTTCCCTTCCCCAACCCACTTCCCCTTCCCTTCCCAGCCCACTCCCCATCCCCCGCTTACCCCTCCCTTCCCTCCCTTTCTCCCTCCCCTCCCTTCCTCACCCCCTCCCCCTCCCCTCCCTCTCATTTCCACCGGCCAACTTCTCATCAAAATCATTCTTATCTTTCATTCTCGCTTCTCATTTCATTCTCATGCTTCCCCCAAAACGAAAAAAAATAATAATAATGAAAAAATAAAAATAAAGGCTTACTTTCCCTGATTTCGCATTTTACTTCAAATTCGTCTGATATTAAAAGCCTTTTCTGTGTCATTAATAATGAGATGAGCGAATGACCTGAAAAGATGCCAGATATTTCCTAACATGTTCTGGTCTAAATCCATTTCCAGGATTTCAGATATTTTGACACACACACACAGACACATATGTTTGAGTGTGTGTGTTTGAGTGTGTGTGTGTGTGTGTGTGTGTGTGTGTGTGTGTGTGTGTTGTGTGTGTGTGTGTGTGTGTGTGTGTGTGTGTGTGTGTGTGTGTTTGGTGTGTGTGTGTGTGTGTGTGTGTGTGTGTGTGTGTGTGTGTGTGTGTGTGTGTGTGTGTGTGTGTGTGTGTGTGTGTGTGTGTTGTGTGTGTGCGCGAATGCAACGACAACTTCCACAAAATCCTTAAAAAAAAATCAAAGCAAAAAAAAATACGGTGTTGTGTTACTCGAAGACCAACGACCCTTGCAAGCACTGTGCTTCAGGGCGATCAAAGCGACGCCACCTGAGCCGACCACCTGACTACCCCCACCCCCCCTCCCCCTCCCGAAACAGCTGTGTCTGTGCGCCAACGAAGCCACCTATCCGATCATTAACTGCTAAATGATTCTAGTCATTTCGATGATGATTAATCGGGTAAATAAATCCAATCCTACAGTCAGACAGACAGACAAACGAGAGAATTCTACAGCCTCGCAGACATAAACACGATGAAGCAATAAACCGAATTTTATCATTTTTTTGGGGGGTTATTTTCTTTTTTGTCATTTACAACTTTTAGGCAATGGCCTGGTAATCATGGGAAAGGAATATTGCAAAAAAATAATAGTGCAATACAGTTACCGCAATTTTCTCGCGTGCTTGATCTGTATATAACTTTCATTACGATTGCAAAAATCCTCTTGCAACAACGTGACAAAATATCCAGATTTTGGCGCATATTCTCTGAGTCATCGTCTCTCGTGTGGATTTTTTTTTTTAAGTGGTAGTGATAATAATCATGATGATAATCGTTATTATGACTCATTATCGTATTGTCCGTTTTGAATCGACCAATAAAATGCAATTAAGCGTTCGAATGTCATAAATTTCACAACAAAATGAAACTTTGGGATCAGAACCTCAAGATACCAATACCATTCCTCTTTACCACGTTAATTACCTGTCAGTCACCTATCACCACCTGCGCCACCTGAGACTACATTGCCACATAAACACACTCACACACACACAACCCTATCCCTCCATCTGCCATCTTTCTAAATCTACCTATCAAGGCCACCATCACGAGAGTGTACCACCTGTCACGACCTCTGCACCATCTTGACCACCTGTCCACATTAGCGCCCCCGGTTATCAAAGTCTTGGCCAGCTTTCTTGTCCATCTGCCAACGTCTCCGTCTCCTCCTTGCCTTTTTCTTGGACTTGAATTCTTCTGGGAACTTCAGTTAAACGGGAATTCCCCTTCTCTCCTCCTCTCCTGCACCCCCTCCCCCCCACAACTCCCAAACGCCAGACGGTCGAGTGTTTGAAAAGATCTATTTCTCTCTCTCTTTATGTCTCTCTCTCGCTCCCTCCCTCCCTCTCTCTCTCTCACACACACACACATTTAGTTCATTCTCGATCCATCTACCTTTAATTATCTCTATCCCTCTCCACTTCCATGGTACATTAAACATTCTCTCATTAAATATTTTTTACAATAGCAACACACATCTAAAGCGCCTTAATCATCAATCACAACATACATTTACTACTTACATCCACCATCACACAGCATCAAGCACCATGTTTAACACGCGACACCATACCACCTCGACAGCACTATTCACTACCATATTTAGCCTCCATACCGCACGTTGCCAGCACCCTACACACTTTTCCCTTCGGGTTGCTGGCTTCTTTGCCTTTTGCTGTCTTCCCCTCATCATCACCGCCCCTCTTTCCACTTATTTTACTTATTCATTTCTTTCTCTTTCGTTTCATTCTCTCACTTCTCTCTCACCTCTCATTTGTATTTTGATTTCACATGTTTCTCTTCTTCCTCCTCCTCCTCCTTTATGCTCATGGGGCAGCGACCTCAAGCACAATATCACAAGTCTACCACAGCACAAAAAAATCCGAAAGCATTCCTTCGTTTCGGTATTTGAAGCACCCACGCGCGAGGGGCTAAGTCAGACACACATGCACGGCCTAATATGTACGAGACAGCTTTTAGGCGCACACTCACACGCTCGCTCTTTGGTACGCCTAACTTCTGTGTTAGTCGGTTATACAAAAAGTAGAAAAATGCGACCTAAAATGTAGCCAGGAAAACGGAAAATGAATGGCCTCCAACACCAAGAGATAAAGAGAAGAGAAATCACTGCTTGTTTTGGCTACGATGTTTGTAAAAGGACACTCGTTAACGTAGTTTTTATTTATCTATACATTTCTGGTCGAAATGATAGCATTCTACAAAGTGGAAAATCACTTTGCATTTCGGAGGAAATCTCGGTGTACAGTCTTCCGTCCCCAGCGTGTACAGGATTAAAACCCCATCCTTCAAGGCTCGGGGACATGGGGACCCCTTTCCCGCACGCTTAGAGAACACTTGTACACTTTTACTTGCCGGAACAGCTGCAGAAGAAGACAAAAACATCGGGAGCAGCAGTTCGGGTGGCAAAGAGTACATCGAGGAATGTAAAATGGATGTATTTGGTACAGAAAGTACATCGTCGATTATACTTGATATGTGAGTCAGTGTTGCGTTGGGGTGAGAGGGGTTGGGGGCATCAGGTGTTCATCAAGGTGTCGGCCACGGCTTGTGGTGGCGTATGTGGCGGCCATGTGTGTGTGACTGTGGGCGTGACAAAGTGTCGGCTCCACTCGCAGTCGAGGGTCATATGTACTGGTCGAGTGGCAGAGGCCCCGCGGCGCTGGCGGCGAAGTGCGAGCGCAGGGCGAGGGCGGCCAGGTGCGGGGAGCCCTTGTGGCAAGGGGCGCGCCAGGACGTCTTCCTTGTGAATTATGATCCCCTTCCGCACGAGCGCCGCTGCGGGGCCGCCACGACTCCGACTCCAAAGGGCGAGCAAGGAACCGACCTGTGTGCCGTGGGCGGGGTAGCCTCGGGGGCGGGAGCGCGGCGGTCGGGGTCCTCCTGCCGCGGCTGATAGTTCCTGGTGGCGGTGGGTCCTGAGGCAGGCGGGTCGAAGCCACGCCGGCACGACTCGGCTTGGCTGCGGCGTTCGGCGGCGAGATGGACGGCGGCGAGCGCGTGTGTCCCCAGCACTGGGCTAGCGTTGACTGCCCGGACTCTCTCTCGGCCTGCCCTGCGCCCCTGCCCACCAGACCCATATCACGCCCGTACGCCCATCACCTGGCCCGTGCCCCACCCGCCCCCTACCCGTCCACCACGCCCTCGTCTCTAGGTCTCCACTCAAGGACAGTTATGAAAAAGCCAGCTAAAAGCTTGAGTATGGAAGATGGGATGGCCGAGCGGGTATGTGCTGGGCGGGATATAAATAGGCCCTCAGCACGCCGCCGCCCGCCGCACGTGCCCTCGATACCCGCACCGCCTCCGCCCGCCCCCTCCATTACCCCTTCGCCCCTTATCAGTCCCGCCGAGGCCCTTAACATGCACACCACGCGATAAGGGGGAGGGGGGAAACACACCTCACTTATGCCGGGCTCAACCCTCCCCTCCGTGTCCGTCTGCTGCTGTCCCCCCCCCCCCTCCTCCCTTGGCGCCCGTCCATCAGGCGCCGCTGACCTCACACTCCTCATCGGCGCCCCTTAACGCCCCTTAGCATCCCGCCTTCCCCTTCGGTCCGCTGACAGGATGACTAAAAGGTGATTGGTGACACGCTGATCGCTCCATCAAGCTATTTCTAGTCGAAATATAATGCGAATAAGAGAGAGGAAGGCGATGATTAAGAAGAAATTAAAGAAGAAGAAGAAGGAAATGGAAATAAAAGATAAAGAGGAAGGATAAGAAGAACTATAAAAGGAGAAAAAGATGAAGAGATAAAAGAAGAAACAGAAATAGAAACCAAAGAAGGGGAAGAACAAGAAAAAAAATGTAAAGTTAAGGAAGAAAACAGAAAGAAAAGAAGAAAAACAAAAAACAAAATAAACAAGACAAGAGGAGAAGACCACGAAGAGCTAAGAAGAAGAATTGGAAGAAAAAAAGAAAGAGAACTTTGGCAGTCAGAAGAGCAAGCTTCACCTCGACGAGACTGAACTTGCCCAGAGCGTGATCGGGACTTGAACCTCGAGATGAAATTTCCGGTTTGTGTTATAGATTTTTTTTCTTTTTCGAATCGACACTTAAGAACTGGTGACTATTTTAATAGGAGAATTTAAAATAAAATAATTAAATGACCAGTAACGAGGAAATGAGACAGTGAAGCATTACGCAACAGCTCACCCACACGCAAAAACCAGTCGACAATACGACCCGACTTTAAAAAAAATGTGGATCTTATTACAGCTGTTTTAGAAAAGGTTCTATAGATGTTTCTGTGCAGCCGATGGGTAACTATAGCTGCTTGCCCGCCCGTGGAGGGTGCTCGTGGGCGTGTGACGTCGAATGATATGGACGAGATAAGTTGGATACAGATCAAAGTGACAGACACTGAGACACAGACAGGCAGAAAGCGAGGGACAAGCAGAAGCACACGTACATACAAGCATACACGCACACACATACAAAAAAAAAGAAATAAAAAACACCCGGACACACAGGCATACACACACACACACACACACACACACACACACA